TTCTCGCCTTCCTGTCCCTCCCTGGGGTTTCTGTGGTAGTGTTCAATCCTGTGATGTGGCCGTCTTCTCCTCAGAGGGCCTGTGAGAGGCAGGCAGCAGCTTTGGCTCAGGCAGAATGCCTGTTGGGGAAAGTCACATGGGATGGCGGCGGGGGCTGGCGCCCTGGGGACTCCTGCGCCACGTACTCAGTTGGAAGGACTGAGCAAGTCCCCTCACCTCTCTGGGCCTCAGCGTCCCTGTGTGTGAAATGAAGGGCTCAGCTGGGATGAGCCCCAGCTTCCTTCTAATGCCAGTGTGTGTTCAGGGCCTGTGCTGTCCTCTCCAGGGAGCGTCAGGGGTGTGGGCCAGACAGTAGGAAAGAAGTAGGGGCTTGTCAGCAAGACAGCCAAGCCTCGAAGGAGCCTTGGTCCCTGCATCCAGTGCAGCCCTCCCCTCACAGCCCCAAGGACAAGAGAGCCCACCCCTTGCTCTCTCCCTGTCCCATCACTCCTCAGCCCCTCACAGGTCTGAGGTCCAGAAGCCAACAATCAGGATGCTAGCATGGTGGGCACCCTCTTGCTTGTCTTGCTCAATTAGGCTTTCCTTGGTGTGTGCACGTGGCCCTTGTCAGGTCCCCCCAATCTTCTTGGATTATGACCTCACTCAACCTAATGACTTCCTTTTTTTTTTAAAGACAGGGTTTCACCATGTTGGTCAGGCTGGTCTTGAACTCCCGACTTCAGGTGATCCGCCTGCCTTGGCCTCCAAAGTGCTTGAATTACAGGCATGAGCCACCACGCCCAGCCCCTAATGACTTCCTAAAAGCTGTATCTCCAAGAACAGCCACACTGGGGTTAGGGCTTCAACAGATGAATTTGGAGGGCGTTTACAGTTCAGTCCACAGCACCTAATAATGTGGGGATCCCAGCCTGTATTTCTGGAATGAAGTCTCTGCTTTTTTAAAGTTTATACACCACCTGGCCAGGAGTTCAAGACCAGCCTGGCCAACATGGTGAAACCCCAACTCTACTAAAAATACAAAAATTAGCTGAGTGTGGTGGTACGCGCGTGTAGTCCCAGCTACTTGGTAGGCTGAGGCAGGAGAATTGCTTGAACCCGGGAGGTGGAGGTTGCAGTGAGCCAAGATCGCACCATTGTACTCCAGCCTGGACGACAGAGCAAGACTCCATCTTAAAAACAAAAACAAAAAAGTCTACACACCAATAGACCTGAAGGCAGGAGAGTTTGTGATGGTTCAGAGTCCTGATTCTGGAGGAAACAGACCTGTTTTTGGGTCCCAGCTCTGCTCCTTACTGGCTGTGTGGCCTCTCTGGGAGACAGCATCCCCCTCATTTGTGAAGTCGGGTTGAACTTACAGGTGGCTGAGAGACTCAGGCGAGGGCTGGCATGTGAGGCCTTGGCACTGAGCGGGCACTCTTATGGAGCGCTCAATCAGAGGCTGTGATCACCACTGCTCTGCAGCCCTAGGCTCTGATCTCAGCAATGTCCTTACTCTTCCTGAGTCAGTCTTTCTGGGGTCCTAAGACTCAGAAGGCAAGTGAGGGAATAGAACCATCTCCTGCCTCTGAAGGCTGTGGCCAGCCTCTGTCCACTGGCACGAGGGGATGCCCTCAGTGAAGATAGCAGGCAGCCCTTTCTTTCCTTTTTTTTTTGGAGATGAAGTCTTGCTCGGTCATCCAGGCTGGAGTGTGGTGGCACAATCTTGGCTTACTGCAACCTCCACTCCCAGGTTCAAGCAATTCTCCTGCCTCAGCCTTCTGAAGCTGGGACTACAGGCGCTCACCACCACGCCTGGCTAATTTTTAGTAGAGAACGGGGTTTCACCATGTTGCCCAGGCTGGTCTCAAACTCCTGAGCTCAAGCAGTCCTCCCACCTCAGCCTCTCAAAGTGCTGGGATCACAGGCACGAGCCACCACGCCCACCTGCAGGCCGCCCTTTCACCTTGCACCGGGCCCATCTCCTTCATCCCTGAACATTTTGCAACTTTTTTTTTTAAGAGACAGAGTCACTCTGTGTTGTCTGGATTAGACTCAAACTCCTGGGCTCCAGCTTTTCCAAGTAATTTGAGCCTCTCAAGTAACTGTGACTGTGCGTGCACACAGCTGGACCTGGCGATGTTTTATACGCTTCATTCTTTCTGGTATCAAAGGGAAGAAGAAAAGCTTTTTTTTTTTATTATTAAAAAATAAAATAAAACTTTAGGCCAGGCATGGTGGCTCATGCCTGTAATCCCAGCACTTTGGGAGGTCGAAGTGGGTAGATCACCTGCAGGAGTTCGAGACCAGCCTGACCAACATGGTGAAACCCCGTCTCTACTAAACATACAAAATTATTAGTACAGGCATGGCGGCAGGTGCCTGTAGTCCCAGCTACTCAGGAGGCTGAGGCAGGAGAATCACTTGAACCCAGGCGGTGGAGGCTTCATTGAGCTGAGATGGCGCCATTGCACTCCAGCCTGGGTGGCAGAGTCAGACTCCGTCTCAAACAAAAAAACTTTATTTTGAAATAATTTCAAAATTACAGCAGTTTCAAGAGTACGACGAAGAACATTTTGCCAAAATTTTTTTCTTTCATTTGTTCCCTCCTCTCCTCCCTCGCCCCGTTCCCTTCCAGTCCTCTCTGAGCGTGAACAACCATGAAGGGTGATTTGCATATGTCATTGCACGTTTACCCATAAGGTGTTAATGGACATTTCCTAAGAGCAGGGGCGTCCTCTCAGTGGCCATGGTACAGCTCTCAAATTCAGGAAATGTGCTTAAATCCTTCTCCTGTGATAAAAATAAAACAAAAATAAAATTTAAAAAGGAAATGTGCAGTATTCTCCCATCAGTCCAAAAGCTGTGAGTTTGTAGTTCATGTTTCAAATCTGCCAACTGTCCCTATAATGAGTTTGAAACCCATTGTTCTGGTCCAGGATCCCTCGAGGACCAGGCCCTGTCGCGAGTTCCCTGAAGCCCCCTGTGATCTGGAGCAGGTCCTCAGCCTTGCTTTGTCTTTCATGACATTCATGTTTGGAAGAGTACAGTCCAGTTTCTGTTGTAGAATGTTCCTCAGGTTGGTCCGGGAGCGTTTGTGTCCAACGAGTTGGGAAATGACATTCACCTCTTTTGGTGATGTGTGTATTTGCCAAACCCCCAGCCTTGTGCTAGGTGTGTTACTCAGCCAACCCGGCCCCTGACCTTGGCAGTGTAGTTTGGGTTTGTGGGGAAAGCAGGCACCGTCAGGCGGGCGTTACGGACCCCTCTGTGTCTCATGGCCAGAGGCACTGACGCTTAGGTAAATACAGGGATGGATGCAGGGCGAGTCAGCATTCTAGAAGTCTGCAAAGGTACAGAAATGGCCCTGCTCCCTCTCCAGCATTTGGCCGTCAGCTTTGCCTGGCTTCCCGAGGCACCGTGAAATTCACACTCCAGTCTTCTCTTGGAAATCTCGAGGGAGCTGAGGCCTGGGTTCTAGCCCTGCCCTCCCCAGGAATCTGCTCTGTGGCTGGGAGAGGAGGCCCCTGTGGCTCTCCCAAGTGCCCTTGGAACGAAGAATGCATTGAGGGGAGAGTCACAGAGCTCTGAGGGGCACGGGGAGACAGGCCTGGGCCACAGGCTCCGATCCCGCCTGGGACGAGGGTAAACAGAACTCGGATGGTTTCATCATGACCTGGCAGAACAACCATCAGACCCGGATTTTTGCTTTTTCAATCGTTTAACTTCTGTTTCATACAGGATGAAAAATGGTCAACTGTCATCTTAAATAACCGAGCAAGATCTAGTAGCCATGAGCGCTTTGTGAGACCAAAGCAGACAAGGCAAAAGTGTTTGGAGTGCCGTCGGATCGTCACAAAACCTTAGCCAACAAGCTTTCAGTGAGACACAAAATAACGTGGATTTTTATCTAGCAATGAAGTCAGCACCACTGTCCATTCTGTGTTAACACACTAACATTTCAGAGTTCCCTCCCTGGGGCTGCAGACATCCATGTGAGAGACACTTGAATGCCCTGTTGTTATAATTAATTTAAATTAAATAAAACTTAAAATTCAGCTGTCCGTTGTTCTGGTGACATTTGGAGGGTCTCGTACCATACGTGGCTCGTGGGCACCGTCCTGGACCATGTCTGTGGAGAACAGTGCCATCCCTGCGGGGAGTTGTGTTTCACAGCGCCGCCCGGCACGTCCGGCAGGCAGGGGACAGATTTCCTTCCACACACGGCACAGATCTCACCGACCCTGAAGTCAGCCCTTAAATATGCTGCAAACTGTCAACGGCGTGTTCTCTGGAATGCCAGGATGGATCAGAGGTATGCTAGATTTACAGAATTTGACTTCTTCCGTTATCCTGGTGACTCAGAGCCCTGTTAAATCAGTTTCAGCATCAGGCTGCGTCCTGGTTTTAAAGAGAACAAAGGCAGCAAAGTTGAATCGCAGTGATTTCGCTCAGTGCCCTGGGTCTCTCCACTCACCTGGCTCCCCGAAACCCCAGGGCCTCGAGCATGGGCTCCTACCGGAGCCCAGTTTTGGCTGGGTGGGGGGCACTTCCCATGGGAGGGGGACCCCTATCTCAATGCTGAGGCAGGCACTCCCGAGGACGCTGGGCTGAGCTGTCTGGGGGCAGGTTCTGAGGCAGGCCAGGAGACGGACTCAGCTGGATGATACAGACGGCAAGCTGGATTCATGTTGCCCCCGCACCTCCCGCATCTGCTGAGGACACCCAGAATTGTGGCCCTGGGCCAAACCTCAGCTCCCCATCCCGTGAAAGTGTGGGTCACAGCGTGGGTGATAGAGCGGGGCTGCCAGTGCCCCCTAAGCTTCTGCTGTGGGTCCAGCCCACAACTGAGGAAGCCACACACAGCTGTGCCGGAGTGTCTCTATTTGATTGAGAGTGCCTGTCTGCTGTGGGTCCTTGCTGTCCCCGCCTTCTGGCCTCCTGGCTGAGGGAAGCTGAGTGGGCCAAAGCCCCTGTTCAGTGTTCGCCTCGGCTCCCACACGGCTGCCGCTGCTCCAGCTGCGATGTGGTTCTTCCACACTCTGCTCTGCGTGGCCAGTAAGTCCTCTCACCCGCTCCTTGGGGGGCTGCAGAGCACAGCTGTGACTGTCTTTCTGTCTGATGGGGTTAGAGAGTGGGAGCCCCTCTGGGGAAGTGCTCTTGCTCCGTGGGTCAGAGCCACAGGCTTGTTGGGAAGGGCGGCTGAGGCTTTGTGTTGACAGTGCTGGGAGCCGGGGCTTCAGGCTCCAGGCTCTGCCACTCTGTTCCCCCTCCAGCCGCTGAGGCCCTTTCCCCGTGGCACCCACGTGGGGCAGGTCCTTGGATCTGAGTGTGGAGCCTGCGCCTGGCAGAGCTCCCTTCTGTTACAGCTCAGGGGTTGGGCTGATGAGGGTGAGGACCCTGTGAGAGACTGGGGCAGGTGTCTGCACGGTCGAGGGTGAGTGTGGGCCAGCGGAGCCTGCTTCCTGTGTTGTTAAGCCCAGGGTGAAAACTGGCATGTGGGGTGTGGGAAGGCACTTCTGCTGCCTGCGGGGGGGTGGTCCCCTTTTGGCCTTTAAGTATCCTGCGGAAGCCTCTTTGGGCAAGCCAAGCCATGAGCCCTTTCGCTGGCCCCCAGGGATGAGACAGCGTGGTCAGCTGAGCCCCTGGAGGCCGTTCAGATCAAGCCGGAGCCCAGGGTGGTGCTGCCTAGAGGCCAAGGCAGACTTCCCATGGGTCTGCTGTCCCCGCTCAGGAGGTTGGCAGGAGAACTGGATGGGCGTCAACCATATGTGGGTGAAAAGTTCCTGGTAGCCGAGTTCTCCCCAGGAGATGGGCTGAGGCTGTGCTGGGAGGGGACTCAAGATTAGCATTCCACATGGGGCCAGATCGCCCAGGAAGCAGGCTGGAATGTGTGGGGCACCAGCAAGGCCCACGTTTTGGGGCACATTTTAATATTTTATTTTATTTTTTTATTGTTTGAGATGGAGTCTCACTCTGTCGCCCAGTCTGGAGTGCAATGGCATGATCTCAGCTCACTGCAACCTATACCTCCCCAGTTCAAGCGATTCTCCTGCGTCAGCCTCCTGAGTAGCTGGGATTACAGGCACCTGCCACCATACCCAGCTAATTTTTTGCATTTTTAGTAGAGACAGAGTTTCACCCAGTTGGCCAGGCTGGTGTCAAACTCCTGACCTCGTGATCCACCCGCCTCAGCCTCCCAAAGTGCTGGGATTACAGGTGTGAGCCACCACTCCTGGCCTCCATTTTATTTTATTCTTTGAGACAGAATCTCACTCTGTTGCCCAGGCTGGAGTGCAGTGGTGCAATCTTGGCTCACTGCAACCTCCGCCTCCCGGGTTCAAGCAATTCTCCTGTCTTAGCCTTCCAAGTAGCTGGGATTACAGGTGCGTGCCACCGTGCCTGGCTAATTTTTGTATTTTTAGTGGAGACAGGGTTTCACCACATTGGTCAGACTAGTCTCGAACTCCTGACCTCAGGCGATCCACCCGCCATGGCCTCCCAAAGTGCTGGGATTACTTTCAGGAGTGAGCCACTGCACCCAGCCTAATATTTTATATTTCAAAAACATCAGAATAGTCACCACGGAAAGGTCAACAGTTTGTTGAACTTGCTTTCATCTTACAATTTAGACTTCTCTGTTTTTAGTTCTGTGTGGGGTGTAGAGAGTGTCTCCCTCTTTTTATGGCTTGTGGCTTTGATCTCCCATTACCAAGAATATCTGGGGCAGACGCTTAGATGAGACTCTCGTCCGCCCTCTCCCAGTTCAGAGGAGGTGACTGAGGCACAGAGCCGGCAGTGACTACCCAGGCTTGCAGGCAGCTGGCCATAGAGCCTGGGCTCAGGCCCAGGCCTCTGCTCCGCCTCCCAGCTCCACAATACTCCTGAGGCCTGGGACTTGAACCCTGATGTCACAGTGGGCTCCTGCTCCTTTGTCTCCTGCGGCCTCAGGGACCACCACCCATCACCTCAGTGCCTTTTCCGGCAGGTAGCATTGATGAAACCCCTAGTGAGACCCAGGCCCCTCCCAAGCTGATGGGAGCCGAGAGCAAGCCACAGCCGACTTGGCAGGAGGCCGCTTAGCCCACTGCCCAGCTCAGCTGCAGGAAGGGGTCGGGAGCGGGGCCCAGCAGCTCCAGTGTGGGCAGCAGAAATGAAGCTGCTGCAGTTCTGCTCCACGCAGTGAGGTCCTGAGACTGGGATGGGCTGGCCCGGGAGACTCCTGGGGGACATGAGGTGGCGTTGAGTCTGAGAAGGAAAATGGCCAGGAGTTGCTGGGAAGGAAGAACCCCCTCAGACCGTGACCCCAGGCCCGCACCCTGAATCCTGTGCCCAGCCGGAGCTTCAAAGGCTGGAGAGAATCCGGGACTGTTCCTGACCTGGCCCTGACCTTCCAGCCTTCGCAGGCCACCCACTCTGGTGATGTCTACTTCTTGTTGGCTTGTGGGAGCAGATGGAGTAATATTGATCGTCTAAGGGAGATTTTAGAAGAGTCTGGTACAGATAGACAGACACTGAAACCCTGGAACTGCCCACACCCTGGCCACCAGCTCCATCATGCCTGTCACCATGTGGCCTGCCCCCCCGAGTCAGCCTTCACCTCTGACTCACTCTGCAGCCGCATCGACTCACTTCTCCATCTTGGGTCTCAGAGGTTGTGTCTGTACCCTTGCATGAAGAGGCCAGTATAGTCATCCTGCAAAGCCTCACAGGGGAGAAGAAGAAGGAACCAGAAGTCCAGGGCACACTCTTGTCGGTGGCACGCACCGCCCCAGGCCGGTGTGTCATAGAAGACCTCAGTCCTTGTGGAGTGGGGTCTGGGGCATCTGAGGTGGGCTCTGAAGGATGGGGAGGTCCTTGGCTGGCAGGGAGCAGAGGAACCTTCTGTGCAGGGGGAACAGGAGGGACGAAGCCCTGGGGTATGAGGAGTCTGGTCTTCAGGAAGATGGAGGCATGTGCGGGTGGGAGCAGAAGGCTCTCTGCTCTGGCGTTGCTTTCCCTTCCAGCCCCACCCCAAATCGGGACATGCTGGGCGCTGGAGGTGTGGGCAGAGGCAAGGCCACCCCTGTCCTGGCCCCTGATGTGAAGAGGGGGCAGGTTGTGCACACAGTCACCTCCCCAGCCCCGGCAGGGCCTCACAACATGGGTAGGGAAGGGGCATTCCAGGCAGAGGCACAGCCCGCGCAAAGGTGAAATGCCAGAGGAGCGCAGTGTTAGTAGGAGCGCCGGGTGGGGAGCGTGGGCCGGCTGGGAGCCCCACGTCTCTGCCTTTCTCTGGGAGGTCCGCTGGCGTGGGGCAGGTGTGGTGTGAATGGAGGAATGTGGGCGTCCAGGCCGGAGAGGCCCGTGGTGGAAGTGGTGAGGAATGTGGGGGCCTGAGTGCCGGCCTGGGGGAGCCTGGAGTTCCTGCTGAGGACAGCGGGGAGCCACAGAAGGTCTTAGGCAGGGTGGCGACAGACTTATATGTTGTGTGTTAGGTGGAATCTGGGAGAGAGAGGAGGCAGAGAGGCCCATGAGGAGGCTGCTGCCCTCGTCCCAGCTGCGGGTGTTGGGGACGGCAGACATGGGGAGGAGGAGATGCTCATGAGAAACGTTTAGTTTCCTGGCCGGATGCAATGGCTCACACCTGTAATCCCTGCGCTTTGGGAGGCTGAGGCAGGCAGATCACTTGGGGTCAGGAGTTTAAGACCAGCCTGGTCAACATGGTGAAACCCCGTCTCTCCTAAAAATACAAAAATTAGCTGGGTATGGTGGCGGGCACCTGTAATCTCAGCTACTCGGGAGGCTGAGGCAGGAGAATTGCTTGAACCCAGGAGGCAGAGGCTGCAGTGAGCCGAAGTCACGCCACTGCACTCCAGCCTGGGTGACAGAGCAAGACTCCATCTCAAAAAAAAAAAAAAGAAAAGAAAAAAGGTTTGGTTTGCAGCACACAGTAGGGCTTAAGGCCTGCTGGCCGTTCTTGTTATTCGGGAGCTGAAGGGTGAGGGAGCGAGATGGGCTGAGCTGCCTGCGCGGTTCAGATGGCGTTGATGAGCCTCACGTAGAAGACCACAGTGGGGTCTGAGGCTGGGTGGTCCTGCGCAGGCGCTCTGCGGATGGCTCCGAGGCACGGTCCTCCCACCAGGCTCTGCTGGGCATTCTGGGCGTCAGGACCCCTGCCTCTAGTCCCACTTCCGCAGCCAGCTCCTGGTGTCCCTGTGGTCAAATCATGCCCCAGGGGCCTCAGTTTCCTAAATTGGGGATAGCGGTACTTATCACACTGTGAGAACGGGGACTGAAGTTGCCCGGTGCACTGTGCAGGGCTGTGGGGAGGCGGCGGTGGCTGGCAGGATGGGGGAGGACCTCAGTGTGACTCAGCAGCCCTACGTGGCTGGGGCAGCTTGGAGAGGTGGTCCTGTGGGTGGCGTGGTAGCAGACACGGATGCAGCTGTGTCTGTAAGTCTGACAGCACGCGAGGGGGCTTGGGAGGGAGGGCCAGCCCTTGCCTGTGGGTTATAACTCTCCCACCTCAGCCTCCACGTGCTGAGCTGCCTGCGGCAGACCTGGGGCTGGTGTTGCCCCATTTGATCTGCACAGCCCCGTGTCCCAGAGAGGACATGGACGTGAGGTGCCGAGCCCAGCGTCCCTCAGGGACTCTGAGGCAGTGAGGATCTGAACTCAAGACCACCCAGCTAGATGATGCTGTTTTCTGAGTCTTGGTGGGAAATGCAACAGGAGGTGGCTTCCTGATGTAGGTGCAGCTCAGACAAAGATGAACTGGCAGGGCCTAGGGCGAGTCCAGTCCACGGGAGCAAGCTGAGCCATGCCTAGAAGACCTGGGCACCAGCTGGCTCTCAGGGAAAGCCCAGCAAATACAGTGACCTCCCCCACTACACACACACACACACACACACACACACACACACACAGTTTCTCATGCCATCCTGCCTCCTCAGCAGGTTCTTGCTGACCTAGTTACCAGCCCTCTAAAGCAGAACTCTGCCTCAGCTCAGTGAGCTGCCAGCAGAGCCGGGAGCTGTGCCCAGCAGGAGCAGTGCCCAGCTTCTCCAGGCCGTTTGTGACCCTGCCCTCTCTCTGTCACCAACCCCTCAGTGCCTCCCGCTTTTACTGAAGGCTTTGGAATCCGGCACAAACACAGAATCTGAACCCCAGACAGAAACATTCCATCTTCTGATGGGCCACGTGCAAACGGCTCCCCTCCCCGAGCCTCAGCGCCCAGCGTGGTGCCTGGGGGACGGCAGGTGCTCGGGAGAGTGGAGCCCTGTTAAACAACACCCCTCTGCTGAACAAAATGAACACGGGTGGGGTGGCGAGGAAAGGGAACACCTGGCCCACTCTGACACCTTTGAGCACCTCTTCTGGGCCTGGCTCTGTGCCGAGCTGGGCTTTGTGGCCGGGGGTGTCGGGCGTGACTCAGATCACATCACGGTGTGGCGGGGATACACTCAGCCACAGATCACTCAGATGCAGACAGGATTTGGTCAGAGCCAGACAGAGACCACAGGATGCCGAGGGGCTCAGGGACCCGGGAGGTACTCTGACTGAGCGTCTAAATTGCCTTCTGGCTCCTGGCTGGCTGAGCAGGGCCACAAAAGATGGGCTTTGCAGACGGAGGTGGAGAGCGGTGAGGCAGGCCTTGGGGCTGGAGGCAGGGGCGTGCGGAGAGTGCGCTGGGCAGAGCAGGAGGTGCCACAGAGGCCCAGGAGAGGAGACAGCTTTTCTCTGTGGTCTCCGATCGTATCTTTTTTTTTTTTTTTGGAGACAGAGTTTTGCTCCTGTTGCCCAGGCTGGAGTGCAATTGCACTATCTCAGCTCATGGCAACCTCCACCTCCCAGGTTCAAGCGATTCTCCTGCCTCAGCCTCCTGAGTAGCTTGGGACTGCAGGTGCCCACCACCACTTTCAGCTAATTTTGTATTTTTAGTAGAGACGGGGTTTCACCATGTTGGTCAAGCTAGTCTCGAACTCCCGACCTCAGGTGATCCACCTGCCTCGGCCTCCCAAAGTGCTGGGATTACAGGCGTGAGCCCCCGCACCCGGCCTTCCAATCGCGCCTTTCAGTTACACAGACGGTGAAAACGGGGGAAGAAGACGCCCACTCACCCCTTGTAACATGTTGGCAGTCCGCACTTTTTTGTTCTCCCTCAGGCAGTTTGCTGACCTGTTTTTCCCCAGCCTGGCTGACCAAGACGCACACAGCTCAACATGACGTGGGCCCAGGGGCTGGAGCCCAGACTCCCTGTGTCTCTGCTCTGGATTCATGGGGGAGCAGAAGGGACAATCATCTTCCCTGCCTGGGGGTCTTGGCCTGGAACCTCTGAGTCTGTGTCGCTGCAAGCAGTGACCCTCCCAGCACCTACCAAGTGTAGGCCATTGTGCCAGGCGCTGAGATAATGTGCGATAGAGGCAGGTGCAGTGCGTGCCCTCATGGGGCTCACTGGTGGCAGGGGCCAGTCACAGGCAGTAAGGAAACAGGGGAGGCCGAGCACAGTGCCTCACACCTGTAATCCCAGCACTTTCGGAGGTCAGGACTGGAGGATCACGTGAGCCCAGGAGTTTGAGTCCAGCCTGGGCAACATAGGAAGACTCCCATCTCTACAAAAAAAATATTTTTTTTTTTAAATGAGGATGAAGAGGAAGCCAGGAGATAGGCTGAGGGCAGAGGACTCCAGGCAAGGGCAGGGCTCTGTACAAAGGTATACTTGGGGGATCAGGAAGGGCTCCAGTGCTCCCGTCAGATTCTCAGTGGGGGCCGGGCGTGGTGGCTCGCACATGTAATCCCAGCTACTTGGGAGGCTGAAGCAGGAGAATCGCCTGAACTGGGAGGCGGAGGTTGCGGTGAGCCAAGATTATGCCACTGCACTCCAG